ATGTGGCTCTAAAGAGCCTTGACCGCCTTCCCGGATGCAGAGTGAGCTGGGACCCGATCCCACCCAAAGGGGGGCACTCCTGAGCTGGGCAGCAGCCTCCAAGGGCGGCAGGCCAGGAGACAGCTCTCCGAGTCCAGACGCACCCCCGCCCCGGACCCTGCACTGGGGAAAGCCATCAGCCCCGGGACCTGGCAGCCGAGACGCTGGTGTGGGGCGGGTTAAGGAGCGCCTGCCTCTGCCCCGTGCAGACGCTGCGGGCACCGGGTCCCGCTCGGGCTGTAATCTGCCGAAGGCCCGTTGCCCATCCGGAACGGCACCATCTCCTCGTCCCAAATCCCGCAGCAAGCGGCTGTTGTTCCAGGAAAGGGGGCGTGCTCCCCGTGCTCCCGATCCTGTCCGCGAAGCAGGGGAAGGGCTCCCCTCGGCTCTTCCCCCCCCAACAGGAAGAGGGGGAAGGAGGCGCTGCCGCCTCGGCTTGCCGGTGCCCTGAATCTGTCAAGCCGTCCTTTGCGGGATGCGGAGCGGTGTTCGGCCCGCCGCGGCCTTCAGCGCTTGTGACAGTGATGCGGCTGCCCCAGTTTGCGGAAGGGAGGCTCGGCTCAGTGGCGCTGGGGGCGAGGGGGTGGCCGGGGGGCGGCAGGAGGCGTGTCGTGACTGGGGTGCTTCAGCCCGGCCAGAGCGTCATTCGAGTTCAGCTTCTTGGAGAGGAGGTGGGAGAGAACAGAGCAGCTCCGCTTTGCTTTGGGATTCTTTTTAATGATGCGTGGCTAATGCTGGGAACCTTCAGGTACACCCTGGCAGAAGAGGGTTGCTTATCGGAGCCTTTGCGATACCCGAGTCAGCCCTGCACCCCTCCCGCAGGAAGCACCCCGTTTCCGAGCCAGGCCACTGCTGGGCCTTTGCTGCCGGTTTAAGAAGTGGGAACAGGGGGCTGCCGGGGCGACGGTTGGGCGATCGGCGCGAGCCGGCCAGGCGGCCAGGCGAGCAGCGTCGCAGCCGCCCTCATTAGCCTGCCGAGGCCCCCAGTGACCCCCTGATCGCTGTGTCACTCAAACGCCACTGCATGAGCCCCCCCTGCAGACCCCTCACCTTCGGACTGCGCTCCCCTTATTCCGTCATCCCCTGCCCAGCTGCTGGGCCCACGTGGCTCAGAATCTAGAAAACACTCTGTGTATGCTCTAAACGCTAGTAGTCCGCGGTGGAGACCTCTGCCTGGAGCACGCTGTCGTAAGGCACTGCAGGGGCCTTGGTTGTTCTATTAATACATTCCAGAGGCTCAAGAACACTCAACCTTCCCTACAAAGTGGGGTTTTTTTCCTGCTATCAATATCGCGTCCCTACCCTAAAAGATGGAGTAAGTGAGCAGCCAGCCCAAGACGCAGAGGGCTTCCTGTTCTGCATCACCCGCTTCGGCTGCCTGCTGCCTGCTGGGTCAGTTCCAGGTGCTGACGCGGCTCTGAAGCCCCAAGTGCTCCGGGGGCGCAGGATGACCTGGCGGCCCCCCGCCTGCCCAGCCTGCCCAGCCTTGCAGGCCAGCATTTGGGGCCCTGCTCCCGGCCAGCCAGGGCCAGCTGGCTGGTGGGGAGGAGGGGCGGTGCTTCCTCGGTGGCGGCCCCCGGCCTTTGTGCTCGCCCCCCAGGGAGAGACGGGGCTTCCCCGTGGGGGCCCTCTGGGAACAGCGGGAGCCTGGGACCCGCTCGCACCCCCCCCCCCCGCGCTGGGGCTGGGCAGCCGCCACCACGGCTCCGCACCGGTGCGCGTTCCACAAGCTGCCTGTGGGGGGCGCTCACCCCGGAAGGCAGGCTCAGCACCACGGGCTGCGCTCTCCAGTCCAGGGCTCGGTCCCGGGCAGGAGGGGGGTGCAGGCCCTCTCCATGGGCAGCCGTTCCGGAGCAGGGCTGCAAGGGACCTGGGTGCTCAGCGCCGCTGCCTTTCTGGGCATCTTCTTGCTGAAGGCTGCCTGGTCAAGGCCTGGGCAGGCGTTCTCCCTCCAGCTGTGTCCGCTCAGAGCACTCAAGTGGGTGACATGATGGGTTGGGGGGTCACAGGTCCAGCAGGAGCCCCCCCGCCCCCCACCCTGCAATGCACCCCCCCGCCTCCTGGCCAGCACCCCAGCCAGCCTGAGGGGCCCTGTGTGGCGGCCCCTGAAAGCCTGGGGTCTCGCTGGCTCCGGACTGCCGCGAGATCTCCGCCCGCAGCCACATCCACCGCGCCCCAGGGGCTCGCGGCAGCCCCGGCCCCCCAGCCCAGCCGCAGAGGTGGGCGAGCGGCCGGCAGGGCGGAGAGGAGCAACCGCTGCAGCCGCCGCCGCCGCCTTCCTGGGCTTGGCTCCCCCGGCCGCAGGAGAGGGGCCCCGTCCGCTGCCCTTCCGGCCCTGCCTCCCCGAGTCGGCTCCTCGCCCTGCTTTGTGGGGGCGGCCCTGAGGGCACCTGCCAGGGAGGGGCCCCACTGTGCTGGGAGATGTCCTCCGCCCACCTTCCCCGCGCCCTTGGCCCCTGCTCTCCCAGGGATCGCCCCCGGAAGGCACGCAGCCCCGGCAGCCCCCTTGGGCAGAGCGGCCCCCGGTCTGCGGTGCCGCGCCTCAAGCCGGCTTGCTCGGGCTGGCAGTGCCATGCCTTTGGCGAAGCCGCTGCCCCCTTCCCCCGTCGCTCGGCTGAGCCGATCATTTCCGTGCTTCGGGTGGGCAGCCGCCAAAATGCCAGCGCACACTTGCAAATGTCAGGACTCGGGTGCCTGCTGAAGCGGCGTGTCCGCCCGGGTGCGCATCCCATCGAGGCGGCCGCTCCCCGCGTCCTGCCCGCCCGGCCTCCTCCGTGGGGCTGGAGAAGGCCTCAAAGTGGCGCCGGCACCTGGGGGCTGGCAAGACGCCTGGGGCAAGACGGAGCGCGTCCTTGTGCGACGGTGAAGCGTCCGGAATGCGCTTCCGCGAGACGTGGCCAAGATGGCCTTAGGAGGCGGGGCAGGCCCACGGCGGGGGGTCCTTTGGCGGCGTTGACAGACCGCCCCGTGCCGGGGACAGGCCACAGCGTGGGACGGGGCGGGAGCCGCGACAAAGCGCCTGCCGCGCCCGATGGACCCAGCCCAGGCTCTTGCCGGGCCTCCGCAGGCACCCCGGTCGCGCAGGGGCTCCATGGCCGTGGCCCGAACGGACCCCCAGCCGCAGGCCGCCTGGAGGGGCGGGCACAGGGGACGTGGCCAGGTGGGCCCCTCCCCTGCCAAGCAGCCTTTGCAGCCACAGCGGGGCACGTCCCCCCACCGGGCAGGCGGCCCCTGATGGGCAGCGTGGAGGAGGGGGTGGAGGGGCGCGAGGAGCCCCGGCCGGAGGTGCAGGGTGCCAGGCCCTGGCGGGCGTCCTCTTGGCAAGCTCTCGGGCTCGGGGTGCGGGCAGCCTCTCGGGATCCGGGGGGGCACAGGGCACACGGCAAGCCAAGCCGACGCTGCCCCTTGTCAGGGTGGGACTTGTGCTCCGGGGCAATTCCCCCGGATTTCGGGCCAGCGGCATGAAGAATAAGCCTCTCAACGAACGTGTTACGGATGCCATCAGTTCCACCAGCGCGCCGGCCTCTGCATTATTCATTGCGGTTCTCAGTTCGGAGCATTTTGACGCGGTCGTCGCTGTTCTTGGTTTCTAGCAGCAGCTCCGGACTGTCCCCGCTCTTTCCCTTTCCGCCTCCCTTGTCCTTTCGGCGTGACCATCAAGCCACAGAAGGGCACCGCTTCCCAGCCTGCCCGGCCTCCGCGCGTCCTCTCTCTCCCCGTGCACCTTGCTCCCCAAAACCCGAGAGGGGGTCCTGACCAGCATCGCTTTCCGCCTACTTGGGGGGCTGGGGGGGAGGGCACAGTGTGTCGCTTTAGAATAGCAGGGTTGGAAGGGGCCACGAAGGCCATCAGGTCCACCCCCTGCTGCTGCGGGACACCGAGTTACACTGTGTCTGCAGCAACGGCACCGCCAGCCTGCGATGCAGCGGCTGCAGTCAGTGGGCCCGGCCGGGGGGGTGGGGGGGGCTCAGGAAGCTGCGATGCTCGGCGGAGCCCGCCACGCCACGCCACGCCCGGCCTGCGCTGAGGAAGGCCGCCGGTGGGCTCCGAGGCCGCGTTCCAGCACACGTGGCAGGCGCCTGCCCTCCCCAGCCCAGCAGCTCTGGACAGGCTGGAGAAGGTCCGGTGCTCCTTGCTCAGCCCCGGGCCCCATGTGCCTCAGCACACCACAACGCTCACCCTGTTCGTGGGCCGTGTCGCAAGAGGACACGACCAGAGAAAGACTTTGTCCCAGAGGAACCCCCGAGGGTGGAGGGGAGGCCCCGCAGGGACCGGGACCGGGACCGGGCCGTGCAGTGCCCGGGGGGCTGCTCGGTCAGCTGCCTTTTAAATGGCTGCCCTGACACATGGGGGGGGGTCACTGGGGACCCCCGGAGGCGCTGCCCAGTTCCTTTGCCACTGGCGTTTGGCTGGACAGCGGGGAGCTTCCTTCCAGCAGGCGTTGAGGGAGCTCGGCTGCTTCGACATTCTTCAAGGGTTTATTTTAGGGTCCTTTCTGCACTGAGCGATGCTTTGTGGAAGGGCAGGACTTAAATTCTGATACTGACACAGTGGCAGGTGAGGAGGGGCCCAATGGCGATGGACTTCCTGGCTCCCCGCCCCACGCTGCGGCGCCCGGGTGGCCCACCCTCTGGTCCTTCCCTCCCGACTGGGGGAGGCGGCGGCTGGGCCCCGTGCCTGCCCCCGGATCGTGTGCGCCGGCCAAGCCTGCCCCGTTCCCCACCCCGAGCCCGCTTCTCCTCGCAGCCCGGGGAGCCGCACTCCTCCCCCAGTCGGCCGGCCCGGACCCCGGGGGCAGCTGGAGGCCTCGGCCGCGGCCAGCGTGCGCCACGTCCGGAGGCCTGCATGGCGAGCACGGGTGTCGGCGTGGGGCGGCGGAGGGGCGCTCTGGCCTGCCTCCCACTCGGGCCTGCCTGCCCGCCTGCCTGCCTCTCACCGCGCGTGTCGCTCTGCCTCCACAGAAGTGTCTGCGGCTGAACCCCGATGTGCCCGTCTGGGCCTCCAAGCAGCGCATCCTCTGCACCTTGAACCACAGCCTGAAGGACGTGCTGAACTACGGCCTCTTCCAGCCGGCCTTCAACGGCAGGGCTGGGAAGTTCCTGGACGAAGAGCGGCTGCTGCGGGAGTACCCCCTGAACCCGGAGACGCCGGTGCCGTACCTGGAGGTACCCGCCTGCTGCCCCGTCCCACGCTTCTCGGTGCGCGTGGACCCGCGGTCCACCTCGGGCTCCGGAGCGGCTCGGGCGGCCACCCCGCAGCAGGGCTTCTGGCTGCTGGGGCTCGCTTTGGGAGCAGCCCCTCTCGGCGGCCTCAGCAGGCCAAGAGCACTGAGCCGGCGGGAGGCTGGCGGGCTTATTTATGTATTTCGTGCGTTTGGGCCCCTTTCAGCACAGGAGCCCTTCCACGGCAGAATAAAAAAGATGCGGCAGTAAAAAGCATTGGAAACCCCCCAAAACCAACACACAGTGGTCCAAATCCAAGCCCTTCAGCGCCCGGCAGGCTTCCCAGCCCGGTGCAAGGCACCGGTCAGGGAGGGCCGGAATTGTCCGGGGAGCCGCGCGGCCCGGGGGTTGTGTTGCCCGCATGCGCGGAGCCGAGGCTGTCCAGGGGCTGAGGAAGCAGCCGGCCTGTGGGGAGAGGAGAGGGGAGCCTGGCAGTGAAGGAGGCCGTGTGGGGCAGCTCGCACAGGCCGGCAGGAAGCGCCCGCCAGGAGGCTGTGGGGAAATGCCCGGGGTGCCAAGGGGGCGGGCGGCAGTCGCGTCCCAGTCCGGAGCCGAGAGAGGGCGCGCTGTCTCCTTGGAGCAGCGGCGGGCGTCTTGGGCGCTGCCGGGGGGACCGGCGAGAGGAGGCGCGCTGGTGCAGTCTTGCAGTGGGGCCCTGCGGCCACTCCCTCGGCTGGTCTCACTGGCCCTCCAGTGCCAGGGACGCCCGGGGGCGCTTTGGCCCCTGGACAGGGGCACTCGGCTCCCAAGAGACGCCCCGGGGGGTCCTGGCAGGCGCACCGCGTGGCCGGCGTGTGCCCGAGCCCGCGTGGCGCAGGGCTGGGGGGGCGGCCTGGGGCCCGGGAGACGCGGCTCCTTGCCCCCCACTCCGTGCAGCTCCGCGGGGCGCTTTGGCAGTTGCAGGCTCTTGGCCTCACCTACCCCACAGGGTTGTCGCACGGACATAATGGCGAGGGGACGCACCACGGATGTCCCCGGCTCCCTTGCCAGAGGGGAATGGCGGGATAGGAACATAATCAGAGGCATGTGCCCCTGGGGCCACGTCCCCCTCGCGCTCCGTCCCCAGCCGGATGCTCCCTAATGAGCTCAGAAGGCGCTGGCGGGGCGGGGGGGGGGGGGGGACGTGCGTGCCACGATGCGCGCTTGGGGGATCCCGTAGCCGCATCCCTTCCGGATCCCCGGGTGAACCGCCACGCAGCGCCGCCTGGTCGCGTTGCCGTGTGGCAGCCCGTGCTGCAATGCCGTCGCTGAGCGCCCCGGCCTGGTGCAGCTCTGCGGCCGTGCTGTTGCAGGCCGTGATTCCCCAGGGGCTAAATTTAGGGAGGTGAGTGCGGCTGAACGGATCGGTTCGTGTGCGGAGCACAGCCGCCCCTGGGCCTTTCCTGGGCTCTGCCTGCCAGTGTGCTGAGGACTAGGAGCTTGTTTGTTCCCCAGAGGCTGTGTTCCCAGGAAGCTAGAGAGTGGTTACACTGCATGGGAGTCCCAGGTATGTCCCATCTAGACCAGCCTGCCTCGCGCTGGCTGGGAATGATGGGAGTTGCAGCCAGACTCATCTGGAAGGCTGGTCTGGGGGGGGCCAATGCTCGGTCCCTGTGAGCCCAGCTTTGGCCTCTGCCAACATCCCCGAGAGATGCCCCTGCCCCGCGCTTGCCCCCGAACACCTCCTGCCGCCGCCCCCAGTGTGGACGGATCTGCCCCGTGGACACGCCTGCCCGGAGTGAGTGCAGATCCCGGGCCTCCTTCCCACTGGTGATTCACCGAGGCCCGAGAACCCGCGAGCAGCAGCCACGACCCCTCTGGGGCTTTGCCGGGCGAGGCTGGGCCAGCGGGGGCCATTTCGCCGTCCGAATGGGTGCCGCCTGATCTTCGCCAGGGCATTTTCTCTTGTGGCCGCGTGGCACCGGGCCCTGGAGCTGCTCTCCTGCTCTCCAGGACGGGGGGAAAGGGCGACCTGGAGATCGATCCACGGGGATCGACCGATGCAGCTGAGCAGGCCGGGCGGGCATGGGGGGCCAGGCTCTGGGGGCCGTGGGCGCGGCTGCACTTGACCCTTCCCTTCTCTCCTCCAGTTCCGCTACAAGAGGCGCGTTTACACCCAGAGCCTGCTGGACGACAAGCAGTTTGCCAAGCTGCACACCAAGGTAAGCTGGCGAGGCGCCCGGCTCGCCTCCTCCCTCCCTCCGTCCGTCCGTCCGTCCGCGGGAGCATTTGGAAGCACGGAGAGCCCGCAGCATCGCGCCCCAGCTCCTGCCCGGGGGCGCCTGGCCCTTGCCCTTCTTCGCACTGGCGCCGCTACTGTCATGCTCTTCATTCATTTCCGTACCTTTCTGAGCAGTTCGCCGTGGCTAGGGCAGTTCAGTGCTCATGCAGGTGCGCTAATACGAACATGGAAAGCGAGGGTCAGAAGGGGCCTCCAGGGCCATGTAGTCGGACCCTGGCTGGCTCCGCTCGTGCCATGCCCACCGTAGAACAAGGAATAACAACACGCCAGTGCAAGAAGATAATCATAAAATTAGAACACGCCCAATTTAAAACCGTTTCAACCACCCAAACCATGTGAGTAACATGTCGACCTGTGGGAAGAGTGCGCCTGCCCCTCCGTGTGCCATGAGATGCAGGCGAGGGGAGGGCTGCCCTCCCCCTCTGCCAGGCGGGCGTCACGCGGGGACAGGAGCCGCCTGGGGGAGCGCACGCGGGGGGGCCGAGCACCCGCGCCCCCTGCCGCTCCTGAGCCCCGCGACCGGTGCCCGGAGGCCGACCGCCCCCGCCGGGACCGGGGCAGGCAGGCGGGCAGGCAGGCAGAGCCCAGCACTGGCCACCCGCCCTGAGCCCTTGCAGAGCTTGCTAGCCTGGAGCCCCCGCTGAGCAGAGCCCGTGCTTTGCGCCGTGGAGCACCCCCTTCCCGGCAGCTCCATGGGATGCCCTGGGGGGTCTGGCCTCCGAGAGAGGAGGAGCCATGGTCCGCGGGCCTCGCGTCTCCTCCTCGCCGCGTGGCCGGGTGGCCCACGTCGCTTTGCTGTGTCTGCTTTCCAGGAGGACGCGCCTCTCCGGGACATCACTGCCCACGCCAGAGGCCCGCGGGGGGGCTGCCACCGGACCCTTTTGCCCCCCGGTGGCGCCCATGCAGCGGCCCCTCGCCAGCGGGGGCCCCTCTGCAGCTCGGCGGGATGGCAGGGGGTGTGCGCTGCGCCGCCCGAGTGCCCCGGGACCTCAGCGCTCCCGGGATCTTGGCCCCGTTCTTCCGCAGGGCAAAGGCTGGGGGCTGCCAGCCGCCCCCCCTCCCCCGCGGCTGCTCCAGAAGGCAGAGACCCTCCGGCATCGGCTGGGCTGCAGGCAGCTTTCCTTTTGTACTGCGAAGGAAGAATGGGGGCGAGTCTTCACAAGGACCCGCCTCCTCCTCCTCACCGGGAGCAGCGGAGCCGGATCCCTGCCTGGCCTCCTCTCGTGTGTGCGGGGAGGGGGAGCAGCCCTGCGGCTTCGGGGGGCTGCGGTCGCGAAACACAGCCCGCCCTCCCTGCCAGCCGTCCGTCCGTCCAGCTGGGTCGCTCCGCGGCCGGCACAAGAGGGGCCCCGAGGGCCGCTGTGCTGCCAGGCCTTCGGTCGCCTTGGATTCCTCGGGGCGGCGCCGGCCGACGGCCCGGCCAGATGCCCCGTGGCGCCGCACCCAAGGCCCCAGGGCCCCTCTGCCCCCTGCCGCCGCCCCGCTTTCCCTGCCTTCAAGGCAGCCCACTGCAAGCCAGCCGGGGGGGGGGCAGCGAGCCCCTCCCACGATTGCTGGCCACGTGGGTGTGCGGCTGGCGAGGCCACACCTGGGCTCCCTCCAGCGGTGCTTGTGGGCTGCCCCGCCCAGCATTACGGTCCTGCCCCCCACCCGGCCCCAAAGCTGTGCGTGGCCCCTGCTCCATTATGGGGGCAGGGCACCCGGACGTGGCTGTGCGGACCGCCACGACCCCGTGGCAGGAGCGGGGGCCGCGGGGCCCGTTGGAGCCCTCCTGGGCCTGCGCTTGTCCGAAGCCCCCTGCGCAGGCGGTCAGGCGTCGCCCTCGACGGGGAAGCGGCTGGTCGTTGCCCCGAGCGGCTGGCCGGCCCAGGAAGGCTGCAGCGAGGGGGGGGGCTGCATGCGGTGGGTGGGCCTCTCCCTCTGTGGGGGTGTCGGGTTTCAGGGAGGGGGCGCTCCGGCAGGTGGGAGCATATGCTCCCTTCATTCTGGCACAGGGCCAAAGAGGCCCGCCCTGGACAGCTGCCCCAGAGACGGGGGTGCGGGGGGGGGGGGGACCCAGCCGCCCACCCTGCTGCTTGCTGGAGAAGGGCCGGCTCGGCTCAAGGCGGCCCTCGGTGGGGCCTGTCCCTCGGCACCGGAGGCAGAAGACCGTGCGTGGCGGCGTGGCCGGGCGTGTGCCTGGCTGGAGCCGCGTCCCGCCGGAAGCCCGTGCCGGGATGAGCCGGGGCGGAGGCGGCGCGGCCAGGCAGGGTGGGACGCAGGATGGGAGCCTCTCTGGGAAGGACGCGGCAGCCAGCCGCCCGGCTCAGCAGGCCCGGAGCGAGGAGCAAGGTACCCCCTCCCCGTGCCCCCTGACTCCGGCCTCCCGCCGCCTGGCTCCGTTCCGCCGACGATCCGCGCCGGGCTCTGCTTTTGCTGCCGGCAGACCTCGCTCTGGGCCAAGTGGGGGGGGTCCGGATCCCTTGCAGTCAAGCCCCTCCCCTCTTCTGCAAGTACTTTCTTGCCCCTATTCTGCGTCCTGCGGCAGGGCTCCTTTTGAGCTCTGCACCGATAGCACGTGTGCGCGGGGGGGGGGGGGGCGTGAACGCGCCTGGGGGGCAGGGGAGGCCTGCCTCTGGTGCTGGTGGCCGTGGGGCGTGCCTGTCTGGGTGGCGGAGCGGAGGGGTTGCAACGGGCCGGGCCACGCTGGGCAGGCTCCGGCCGTCCTGCACGGCTCCGGCCTGTCCGCCCGACGTGGGCAGGGGGTGCCAGGCGGCTTGCTGGCGCGCGGGAGGGAGGGGCTGCCTCGCCTCAGCCTTGGCGCCCCAGCGCGGCTCCGGCCAGCCCCGTCCCCTGCAGGACTGTGCCCTCTCATCCTGCTGATTCAGCTGTTCCACATGAAGGTTGCGGGTTGCGTGCACATGTCCCCGCAGCTTGCACCGGGCACTGGAAGCGGTCGCTGGACTCGCTGCTGCCTGAGTGGAAGGCGCACGCCGGCCTCCCCCAACCTGGCACCTCCCAGCAGGCTGGAGCCCGGGTCAGACTAGATGGCCCGAGGTCCCCTTCTGGCTCGCTCTGCTTCTATGTGACGACGCCCCCGCAGAATTCCCAGCCGGCTGATCCCAGGCTGGGAGCAGCTGGACCATGACGTGCCCGGAAGTCGGGTCCAGAACCACCCCCTCCCCACCTCTCCCCCTCCCTCTTTCTTCCTGGGTCCTTCCTGCTGAGGTGGCAGCTGAAGACCTCTCTGTCTTTGTGCATCAGGAAATCGATTACCTGGCAGCTCTCGGTGGCAATCAATGAGGCGTCCGCTTGGTTGCTGCTTAAGCCGGCTTGCGCAGAAGCGCAC